CAATCACTGCCTGACAACCCTTGCTGAAAGTACCCTGTGGATAACGAGAAAGGGAAAAGAGTATGATTTTACCTAACGAGACATTTTCACAAAGTATGTTCGCCTATGTTAACAGTGATATTTGTTTTACTGTTTCAGCCAAAGTAGGGCTTACACCACACCATATTAGGACAGTAATGTAACATTGCTAAGAGATTAAAATGCAAACCAATGAAATAGTTCCATGACATACCTTCAACCTCTGGAACAAATTACAGCCTTGCAATTCACAGTACACCTTTATACCTGCACTAAGTCAGTTGGCCTTATTCTAAAAGATGACACGTACAATAAACATTACAACAATCAAGTTATTTTGAAGTGATGCATTTACTTCTCTTCTGAAAATTACATTAAAGAAATTATTTGGAGTGCAACTTGTTAAGGTTCCCATTCACTTAGAAATTTGCAAATCATAAGTGTATAATAACATTTAGAAGTTTGCCACTTCAGTCATTGGCTGTTGGTCAAAGACGATATACATAATTACAAACATTGTACTTTGTCCTTTATTCCAATGCAACTTTTACACCTCCACTGACTATATCCACGTGATCCATGAGTGATCCTCAACAAGATGCATGTTCAACAAAATTAAAGTTTATTCAGCATTATATCAATTGAATATTTGAGTAATGATCAATTCGCCCCAGACTACTTTCATTTTTAACTATATTAGGTTGGCATTACTTCAGGCCAATATTTATTTTTGGAGATTTTGCATGAATTGTGCGTCAACTGAAGTCACTGTCCACTCTGAGCAATAACATTTCTCCATTGAGAAACATCTAAGTCAAGCACAGAATGAATCCAAGGTTATACCATAGTATAGGACAGTATAACACTGCTCCACATTTTAGGAGGAGGGAGATTAGCAGTGCTGAGAGTTGAGGTGGTAGCTTTCAGGAAGCTCTGAAGGAGAAATACTAAAATAATTGCTTTGATAGTGGGGTTTCAGGGTGCGTGGCCTTGTGCAATTGTCTATAGCTTACAGGAACTTGGTATTGGAAGAGCACAGAACAATATTTGGGTAAACACATGATTCAATATTTGCCAAAATAGTGACCTAATTATTAGAAAGTTTGTTAGAACTACAATGAGATACTACTAAATAGGGTACCCTATAAGCTATGAATCCAGCTTTTCAATGCGATCATAGCAATATATAACAGCTCAATCACAGCATGTGTAAACTAAACTATGCTGATTTCATTTTAATTTCTGTATTGATCACAATGCAAGATTACATGCTAAAATAAAAAGATATCCAACACATGTTGCAAATGCACAAGTAAGTTTTTTCTGTGTACAATTAAATTTGACACCAGATTAGGCTGCTTCAAATCAGAGTACATACTAGCTTTGTGTACATCATAATGAATTCTGCAAGATATTTTCTAATCAGACTGTTCAGAGATATTGTTATGCTTTTCTGGAACAAGTGGAACTTGTAACCAGACCTCCTAGCTCAGAGACAATGACACTACCACCACACAATAACATCTCTTCAAGTACACATCCATCCAATTTTGAACCAATAATTGTACTAATATTTGAACAGTAACTATATAGGTATTTCCTAATTAACCTGTTTAGATATATGTTATGATCCACCTCTGGAGCAGATGGGTTTTGATCCTAGGCCTCCTGGTTCAGATGTAGGAGGACTTCCATTATGCCACAAGAGGCCTATGGATGCCTCCATATGTCAGATTCAAAATTAGCGACAGTTGTTGAAATACCCTAATTCTACTTCAGAGTCAAATTGGTAAAAGCAACTACAGTGAATGGAGTATTTTAGAATCTGAACCACTGAAAAGGCGGCTTTTATCTTCCAAGTGGAAGGTATTTCAAGCTCAATGAAGCGCTAAGTTTGTTTTTAATCTGTTGTATGTTATCCAAAGTGTGGCAAATACTTAGCAGGTTTGGCAGCATTTATGGAAGATTTTGCATTCAGTCACATTTAATTGAAAACATGAATTTTGTTTCTCTCTTCACAGATGCTGCCAGGCCTGCTGGGTCAGGACCACTCATGGAATGTGGGTTTCACTGGCTGGGCCAGCATTTAATGCCCATTTCTAGTTGCTGCCTTCTTGAACTGTTGCAGTCTACAGGTTGGAAGTAGACCCACAACGCTGTCAGGGAGGCAACTTCAGGATTTTGACCAGAGACAATGAAGGAACAGTGTTATATTCCCAAATCAGGATGGGGAGTGATTTTGAGGGGAACGATTTTGAGGGGAACTTGGAGGTGACGGTGTTCCCATGTATGTTATTCTTTATTATAGATCCCTTTATTTCCCACTGTCTAGCACTTGCCAGGCAATCAATCCTCTATCCATGCCAGTACCTTGTCCCTAACACTATGAGCTCTCATCTTATTTAACAGCCTAGATGCAAGTGGTTGTTGGTTTGGAAAAAGCTGTCTAGAACAGCTTTGATGAATTTCCAGCATTTTGGTTTTATTTCAGCTTTCGAACATTCACAGCATTTTGCTTTAACCTTAGTACCAAGAGATGGTTCTCTTGCATTCACATGCAGCATGCAACTCAAGTATTTTCCCCTATTCAGAAGGAAGTACTCCAAAACATTTGTCTTGCATTCCAGAAGAATTTGTCTTATTAACTGCCAACTGAACCCGAAAGCTAACCTTAACAGAATCCTGTATCAGAACTCCAAAGTCCCTTTGTGTTGCAGATTTTTGAAGCCTTTCCCCATTTAGAAAATAGTGCATGACTCCATTCTTCCTAGCCAAAGTGCATAACCTTACACATTCCCACTGCATTCTATCTGCCACTTTTTCGCCCACACTCCTAGCCTGTCCAAGCCTTTCTGCAGCCTCCCCATATCCTCAACACTACCTGTCCCTCCACCTATTTTTGTGTAATCTGCAAACTTAGAAAGAACGCTCTCAGTTCCTTTGTGCAGGTCATTAATGTAAAGTGTGACTAGTTATGGTCCTGACTCTGAACCCTTTAGAACTCCACTATTCACAGACCGTCATTCTGAAAAAGATCCCTTTACTCCCCACTGTCTGGCATTTGCCTGTCATTCAATCCTCTATCCATGCCAGTACCTTGCCCCGAACACTATGAGCTCGCATCTTATTTAGCAGCCTTTGACATGGTGCCGAGCAAGAGGCTTTCTGGAAATCCAAATAGATCACATCCACTGGCTCTCCTCTGGTCTAATTTGCTCATTACCTCCACGAGAGAATTCTAGCAGATTTGCCAGGCATAACTTCCCTTCGAAGAAGCCATGCTGATTTAGCCTTATTTTACCATGCACTTCTAAGTACTCTTGTGGTGTCATCCTTAATAATGGAGTCTAAAACCTTAACAACTGAGGTCAGGCTAACCAGCGTATAATTTCTCATCTTCTACTAGAGTTAAGCAGGGAGGTTGCTTTAGCCACTTTCCAGTCCTCTAGGACATTCCCTGAATCCAGTAATTCACAAAAGATCACTGTTAATGCCTCCACAATCTCATCTATCACTTTCAAAACCCTGAGGGTGTAGTCCATCCAATCCAAGCTACTTGTCCGCATTCAGAGCTTTCAGATTCCACAGCACTTTCTCCTTAGTGATGGCTACTACACTCACCTCTGCCCCTGACTCTCAAAGTTCTGTTATGCTATAGGTGCCTTGCAGCTTCATACTGAGTGCATTTGAGTCAAAAGAAAGGAAAAGAATAAGGACAGGATGGGAAACTCAGGCAAGGTAAACAATTTCATCAATCCATTGGAATCAGTCACAAAAAGTTTACACACTTTTGAAACTTCTTAAAAAAAAAACCTTAAACACATCCAAAAACAAAACCACAATATCTGCAAGCCTTAAAAACATAGAAACAGAGAAAATAGGAGTTAGCCATTCAGACTTCAAGCCTGCTCCACCGTTCCACATGAACATGGTTAATCATCTAACTCAGAACCCTGTTCTTGTTTTTTTTACTCATACCTTATGATCCTTTTAACCCCAAGAACTATGTTTAATTCCTTCTGGAAAACATTCAATGTTTTGGCCTCAACCACTTTCTGCAGCAGAAAAATAAAAAAGACCCTTTTGCTGGTCCAAATGGAGACTATCATGCAAATGTTAGTATAATCTTAAAACTGCAAAGTTTATCTATCAATATTATTTTTGTCATCTAAAAAGCTTTGTCAAGATATTATGAAGTGTTTAAATGGGTCAATATAAGTACTTTTGTTTAGTGCTGGGTAATCAGAGTTGAAGGAGAAACTACCTCAACTTGTACAGAGACAATTTGAAATCTTGTGAAATGGTTGAACAAGACATACTGGAATTTCCATTTTATTTACTGGAGCTGCATTAGTTTGATTTACCTGCATTACCTTTGACAAAGAAGTTGCATTAACCTCCTGTTTCTCGCACAGTCAAGGTAATGTAATATTTTGAACAAAATGGGGTTACCTTTTCCAACATAGAAATGAAATGAAACTCAAGTTAAGTCTTCAATTGACTTGTCTCTGCTTCCAACACCTTCCCCCACACCCCCAGCACCACCAGTCTCCATCAACCAACCCCAAATTGAGCACAACATTTAAATGTAGAAAAAGTTGAAATCTTAATAGAGATTTTATAAATAAACTATTTTTGTGAGATCTGATTCAGGTTAAACCAAAAAACTTTCTGAAATGAAACTTCAACGTTAAAATAAACAAAGATACATTCGAACATTTAATATCAAAATCACATCTTCTCACTTTAGGAAACTAAAAATAGCTGTTGGTCGTCTGCAAACAATAAGGTGCAACGCTGTAACAACTTAGAAATCACTCAAAACAATAGCAAATATATCAATATCAAATAAGCGAATGACCAATCAGTCCGGAAACCAGGACCACTTCTGTCTGGAAGTGGAAGAAAACACAAGCGCAGGAACGAAGGAAATAAGGAGAAGTCATTCTCAACACAAAAACCATCTTGAAATAAAAACTTACTTGTGTCAGCTTTTCCCTCCCCTGTCGTTGTTATGTGAGCAATGAAGAGTTATAACGTGTCTCAGAGTGCAACAGTCATACCCTACTCGTAACTGTGTCCAACGCTGCACCACAGACACTACATTGCACAATGCACCCACTTTCTGGGAGCTTTAACAATGACGTAATTTCTTTTGGAGCGGAAGCGAGTCCTGCAATTAGGGCGCGGTGCCCGACGGGACTTGTAGTCCTGCTTCTCGTTCGCGCAAGCGCACCAGCATGACTCCACAGGGTCTTTGTCTTCGAGAAGTTCTGCGGGCTGTGGAATTTGAGACATTACTGTCAATATTTTTGTGTGTTTTTCTTCCTTTTTGTTCTTTAACTCTTGCTTTTTTGTCACTTTACCAATGATATTGAGTTTTGCTAGGGTGCAAATCTCTATTCACAGTAGCATCTTAATGTTCGAAGCTTTGGAGAATGAAGTCTTGTGGGCTATCAAACTCCAGCGGATTTCAAAGCCCGCAAAATCTGATCCCCATCTAGTATCCACCATGTAAGGTCTGTGAGCCCTTCTTGTTCGCTTCCACTTGTGAACTGCTATTCAAGTTTAGAACAACCACTCAAATTTATGTTGGTGATTGAACTTGAACTCTGTTGATACAATTCATTCAACTACTCAGATTTTTAACCAGCTGCATTATCCAAACACTCGCTACCTTTTATACCTGCTGAGAAACATTGCAATTTTAAAAACGCAGATGTTTGTGACGCATTCATGCAAAAATCTGATGAACTATTTTGAAGATAAACAGCAAATGCGAGAAATGTAAAACAAAACTGAAATGTAGAAACGCACAAGTCAAATCAACAAATCTGAAGGGAGAATGTTAAATAATATTTTGTGCACCACAACTAGAAATTACAGTATCATTTGCAATTCAATCATGTTAAGAAAAACACTTCATACAAGCATAAGTAAGGAGGATGTCAAGAGGAATGACTGAATGTTTGTTCAAAGGTTTGAGTTTCAAGAAGAACTTTAAAGAAAGAAAAAATCAGAATGGTTTAAGAAAGGACCATGGGGTGAGGGGGAAAAAGGACAATGACTAAAGGCTATGCAATTAATGATTTAATGATTGAACCCATGTAGTTGCTCTTAATATCAACACGGTGGCACCATGGTTAGCACTGCTGCCTCACAGAGCCAGGGACCCAGATTCGATCCCACCCTCAGGCGACCGTGTGGAGTTTGCACATTCTCCCTGTGTCTGTGTGGGTTTCCTCCGGGTACTTTGGTTTCCTCCCACAATCCAAGGATGCGCAGGTTAGGTGGATTGGCCATGCTAAATTGCCCGTAGTGTTCAGGGATGTGTAGCCTAGGTGGTTTATAGGGGGATGGGTCTAATTGGGATGCTCCAAGGGTCAGTGTGGACTTGTTGGGCCAAAGGGTCTGTTTCCACATTGTCGGAATTCTGTGATCTAAAACGTGCAACTGAGTAAGGTGCCAAAAAGGACTAAAAGGTCAATGGGAGTTGAAGATAAACAGTCCAGCAGCTGCAGGAATGCATGGCACAAAGATTGATAATTGTGGTTGTCAAGAGGCCAACATCTAAGTCAAGCCATAACATCTCACATTAACTCAACTCTATCATGGTCCTGTCTGCAGCTGAAATGGACCATTCATAATCTTACTGTCCTACTTGACCATGGGATAAGCAGCTGGTCACCATGGCTACTGACTCATAAAATTTGCCATCTCTAATTCTTCCCCAGTTCAGCTGCTGCTGAAACTCTTATTACATTTTTTTTGACAATTTCAATGCTCTCCTGATTCTCACCCCATCACAGTCTTTAACCTTCAAAACTTCGATCCTAACTTGCAATGACTCCCTCCACCAACTACCCTCATGCTCACTGACAGTAAGAATATATTCAGTTCAGCAATGAATCGATTTTAAAATTCTCACCCTTGTTCTTAAATCCCTCCATTGCTGACTCTTTCCTATGTCTATAACTACTTCTAGCTCAAGATCATCTGAGACCTATGCATTCCTCTAATTCTGGCCTCTCAGGTAACCCTGATTTTAATCACCCTAGCCTGCCTTATGCTGTTTCGGCACTAGCTGTAGAATTCCCTTCTCAACTTTGCTCCAACTTTAAGCTCTTTAAGGTGTGTCTCATTGAACCAAGCTTTTGGTCATCTTCTTATATGACTTAGTGTCAAATTATCTCATTGAACATGGTTTTGATCATTTTCTTATGTGACTTGGTGTCAAATATGTTTCATACTACTTCATTTATTCTAAATTAACCAAAACATCTGCAAACAGGGTTTGGGTGACATCGGATAAAGAGAAAACCTGCGTAATCAGAGATGTTATCACATTTTCATTCATTAACAAAGTGTAGAACTAACACACTTCTGGAGTACGTTTCTGAAGTAGGTTAACCTAGAAAGAAGATTTTATGTTTCCAGGACATCTTTGACTTAGATTTCAAGTATTCAGTTTTTCTTTCTTTCCCCTGAATAAATCATTTTTGGGAACTCTCTCAAAATTTCTTCAATATATCTCTGATATGTCCATCTGAAGAAATATTTGAACTTTGCTCTTTAAATTCTCCAGTCATACTAATGTACAATTTAAAAATTCTGCCAATTTGGCTCTTTGAAGAATGCTGCAAAAACATCTGCATTTACTTTTTTTTTAATTCATTTGTGGGATGTGGGCATTGTTAGCTGGCCTACTTGCCCTTGAGAAGGTGGTGGTGAGCTGTGTTCTTGAACCACTGCTGTCCACCTGCTGAGGGTTAACCCACAATGCCATTAGGGAGGGAATTCCAGGACGTTGACCCAGCAACAGTGAAGAAACGGCAATGTATTTCCATGTCAGAATGGTGAATGGCATGGAGGGGAACTTGAAGGTGGTGGTGTTCTCATGTATCTGCCATCCTTGTCCTGTTTAGAAGGTGCAACCTAAAGATAGTGGGTGAATTTCAGTAGTGCATCTTGTAGACAATACACACTGCTGCTACTGAGTATCGATGGTGAAGTGAGTGAATGCTTGTGGATGTAGTGCCAATCAAGTGGGCTGTTTTGTACTGGACGGTGTCAAATTCTTGAGCTTTGTTGGAGTTGCACCCATCCAAACAAGTGGGGAGTATCCCATCACACTCCTGACTTGTGTCTAGTAGATGATGGACAGGCTTCGGGAAGTCAAGTGGGAGGCGCTCGCTGCAGTATTCCTAGGTTCTGACCTGCTCTTGTAGCCACTGTGTTTATGTGGCAAACCCAGTTGAGTTTCTGGTCAATGATAACCCTCCAGGATGTTGATTGTGGGTTTTTCAGTGATAGTAACATCATTGAATATCAAGGTGTGGTGGTTAGATTGTCTCTAATTGATGATGGTCATAGCTTGGCATTTGTGGCGCGAATGTTGCTTGCCACTTGTCAGCCCAAGCCTGGATATTGTCCAAATCTTGTTGCATTTGAACATGGACTGCTTCAGTATCTGAGGAGTCATGAATGGTGCTGAACATTGTGCAATCATTGATGAACATCTCCACTTCTGACCCTGTGATGGAGGGAAGGTAATTGATGAAGCAGCTGAAGATGGTTGGGCCGAGGACACTACCCTGAGGAACTCCTGCAGAGATGTCCTGGAGCTGAGATGACTGACGTCCAACAACCACATCTGTCTTCCTATGTGTCTGGTATGACTCCAACCACCAGAGAGTTTGCTCCCAACACCAACTGATTCCAGTTTTGCTAGGGCTCCTTGATACCATACTCGGTCAAATGGTGCCTGGATGTCAAAGGCTGCCACTCTCATCTCACATCTGGAATTCAGCTCATTTGTCCATGTTTGAACCAACACTGCCATGAGGTCAGGAGCTGAGCAGTCGTGGAGGAAGCCAAACTGGGCACCACTGAGCAGGTGCTGCTTGATTGCACTATTGGTGACACCTTTCATCGCTTTACTGTTTTTTGGCACAACATCGTGGGCCGAAGGGCCTGTACTGTGCTGTACTATTCTATGTTCTATGTTTACTGATGATCAAGAGTAGACTGATGGGGCAGTTATTGGCTGGGTTGGATTTGTCCCGCTTCTTGTATACAGGACATACCTGGGTGGATTTTCCACATTGTCACGTAGATGCCAGTGTTGTAACTGTACTGGAAGAGCTTGGCTAGCGAAGTGGCAAGTTCTTGAGTACAAGTCTTCCGTACTATTGCTTGAATGTTGTCAGGGCCCGTAGCCTTTGCCATCTCCAGTGTCTCCAACTATTTCGTGATATCACATAGAGTGAATCAAATTGGCTGTAAACTGGTATCTATAATGTTGGGGACCACTGGAAGAGGCCAAGATGAATCATTCACTCGGTACTTCTAGCTGAAGATTGCTACTTTAGCCTTATCTCTTGCTGGGCTCTTCCATCATTGAGGATGGGGATATTTATGGAGCTTTTTCCTCCTTCAATGAATTTTTTAATTGTCCACCACCATTCATGCTTGGATGTGGCGGGACTGCAGAGTTCAGATCTGATCCATTTGTTGGCTTCACCCGGTTGATACTTCATCTTCAGGTATGCCTGGCACTGTTCCTGGCTTGCTCTCCTGCACTCTCTATTGAACCAGGGTTGATCCCCTGGCTTGATGGCAATGATTCAATGGGGGATATGCCAGGCTATGAGGTTGCAAGAGTACAATTCTGCTGCTGTTGATGGCCCACAGGACCTCATGGATGCCCAGTCTTGAGTTCCTAGATGTGTTCAAAGTCTGTCCCATTTAGCACGGTGATAGTGCCATACAACACGATGGAGGTTATTCTCGATGCGAAGGACTGTGCGGTGGTCACTGTTGCCAATACTGTCACGGACAGATGCATCTGCAGCCAGCACATTGGTAAGGATGAGGTCAAATATGTTTTTCCCTCTTGTTGGTCATCACCTACTGTAGACGCAGTCAGACTATTTACAGAGTGTGAAAACTATTGGTCATTGGGTACTTAAATAGATGGTTGATAGATTTCTCTTCTGCAATTGTTTCAAACCACCACTACAGTGGAAAGAATGCAGTGGGCAAAATACTAAAACAGTGTTTTGTATCACAGATTGTAACCATGCACTGCTGTACTCAGAAAGGCAAATATGTTAATACATAAAGAAAATGAAATTAACAAAAGCTGAAAACTTGAAACAGAAAC